AGTTTCCTCCATTAATTGTTCTAATAGTTTTATATCTTCCATAGACTCTATCCGTTATTGTAAATATTCGTAGTTCATTTTAATCTGAATTTATTTCTAAATCATACCATTCTATTCTTTCGGAGTCTAAATCATGTAGGTTTATTTCATACCATTGTTGATTTAATATATCTTCTGATTCGTTATCATTAAATATTTTATCCCATATTATTCTTCTTAATTCAATTATTTCTATACCTTTAAGTATATATAAGATTAAAGTTTCATAGTTTTTTATCATTTCATCATGCACGTATGTATTCATGTTCTTTATTATTGCTAGATTTTTTATTTTCAATTATTCCTTCCTATCATATTCATAATTGATTAAATTCATATTAGATTATTATGAACTAGATTATTTATTTATCATGTTCTCCTGTCACTACTAGTATCATACTTTAGCGGATACTTCCTTCTTATCAGCGCCTCAACTTTGTTTACTCCCCTAAACGGCTTTCCTCGCCTACCGGTTTCAACATTAGGATGGCATAGTATAGAAGTTTTCTCCCTGTTTCCAGTGTGCTAATAAACTAGAAATCATGATTCAAATAATTCTAATACATAATAACTAACATAAATTTATTCAATCATATATATGATATTCAGGAATATATATGAAATTAGTTCTGCATATTTATTGAACAATATACATTTGCGGAATATATGAAATTAGTTCTGCATATTTTTTGAACAATATACCTTTGCCTCTTGCTTAGCCATGTTATCCGAAATATCTGATTGAATTTCAGATTGTTGCTCCATTTATCTAATTACTAATTTTTTGTAGAGAGTTTTTTGAAAAGAGAGATTTATATATTAGGCTTTGCCTACTTTACAATGTTTACGACTGTGTCTATATATAGACATACAAATTTACTATTCTAAATACATATCCTAATACGTTTTTTTACATCTGTCCACTACTATTTACTACTATTCATGAATAGTTTCCTATTCTAATCTACTACTATCCTATTAAGACTTATTTACAACCTTGTCTCCTAACTTTTACACTTGTCCTTAATATGCACATGTTTAATTTTGCACTCATTGACTATTTTACACTACCTTGTCTTTCTTACAATAATAATGCTGACTAATAATTTCCATTGTCACGTTACTTTACACAATTAGTCAAAAAACTTCAACTTTCCTTTATCTTTTCTGCCATTTTGTCTGCCATTTGCATCTTTATCTTATCTTTTTTATTTTGTCCATATCTTATCTTGTCTTGTCTGCATCTTATCTTCATCGTCTTCTTTTACTCTAAATTGACATATGGAATTATGTTATCTTCACCGTTACATTTCAAACATATGTGATCAGGGTATTTGTGTCCAATTAGTTTGCAATATCTGGTTAATAACTCTGTTGAAATAAATCCTGCTTTTAGTGCTCTCGTCGTAGGTCGTTCCTCTGGTTTTAACAATGATAAAATCCATCTTTGGACGTCACCCATATCTTTTTTTCTTAGCTCCCTTGAATTGGAATAAATCATTAACTGATCTCTTGCATAGTAGCTCCATATAGCGTTTCCGTTTAAATAATTATTTGCTAGTTCTTGTATAATGGTTGATATACCAATTATTCTCTTATTGGCATAAAAACTGGGTATCTCACTTTTTTGTATCTCTGGTTGCTGTTCGATATCTTTCGGTATTATCATATCTTTTGTTAGTCCTATTTTTACCACTTGTTTCGGAGGTTTTATTTCTTCGTATAATATCTCTGCTGTTGCCATATAGAATTTTACATAGAATAAATTTCCCTTAGTAAATCTCTTGTATGTAATAAATTCTTTATGTAGTTCCGGTATTCCACTTAGTTCCTCTCCGTCATAAGTATATACTGTATTTAATAGTCCATAGTTGTAACATGTCCTTACTAAGTTGACGTTAGTTTTTGGTTGTGCAATCAGTTTATTATAACCTTATAATTTTTGGGTTAAATAATCATGTTTGGGTTCTTGGGTTATAGTAGATCTGGGTTTAAGATTTAAAAATGTTTGGATTTTGTATATATTTTCTAGATAGGTTCGCGTAATATGGTTATATGTCCTTTTGTCATGGTGTAGGCTATCCGCGTATGTAGAAGTTTGTGGTTCTATAGTCAATATATTTTTTGGTGTTGACCTTGGGGTAAATGGTTTTTCGAATATCTGGTTTAAGTTTGAGTTCTTATGTTTTTCACTAACTCGTTGACTTGTACCTGCAGCTGTATTTAAACAAATGTTATGAGTTTTTAGGTGTTTCCCAACGTCACCTTTTAGCTCTGAATTTTTTCTGTCTTCCGATCGACATAGCTCCGCATTTTTATAGTCATGCTGCTGACTTATACTAGCTTTAGACTTCAGATTATCTTCATTAGTCTTTAGATTTTGTATCTCGTTGTCCATACTATCCACTTTTGTACAAAGTGTAGTAATAGCTTTGAGTATCTTTTCAATTGTATCTTCTTCCTCAGTCTCAGTCTGAGTAGCTTTGTCGTGATAGGTAATCTGCAATAACACTCTTATAAGTTTTTATTACTTCAATTGTAAATGTAAAATTTAATATATTTAATACCAATCTCCTTATTTCTTTTGTTGTTACCGAATCTTGTATTTTTCTTGTTAGCCACCATTTTACTTGTGTATTATCTGTTCTTATAATAAATTTAACCACCATTTTACCTGTGTATCATTTGTTCTTATAATGAATTTGTTATATACAATATATGGTTCAAATGATAATAAACACTTATATACTGAATATAATT